TAGGTAGGAGAGTGACATATTATAGCTATAGTTGAGATTAATATGGCAGCATGGGAGAGGAAAGATTTTTCCTCGACTCTGTTAGGTTCTGTGGCATAGGCCTATGAATTGAACTAACAAAAGACAGATAAACAGGAAAAAGTATAAAAATTTTATTTGATAATATTTTTACATGGTATGAGGACTTCATAGAAAGAAGTGGTTAGATCCAAGGGGTTAGACAATTTTTCAACAAAGAGTGATGAATTATGGAGCTAGGACAAGACAAAGGAAAAGGGGGGGCTGGGCTGAGCTGGTAAACAGTAGAAAAGTTACTAAGGAACATATAGGGGAAAACTAATGAAAGATAAGAATTATTTTAGGAAGTTGGCTTGCACAAACTTGCCTCAGTGTCAACTCCTCATCCCTAGTGATAAGAGAGATAGAGATAGGGCACATTTCCCATGGGAAATGTATGGCCTACTTTTAGTAGAAAGTGGGGACTTTGTGCCCTTCCTATACCTGCTGTCTCTCAGTTGCCTTCAGCTGGAAATAATCAATATGCCAATGTGACTTATTTTGGATGTGGCACCTTCTAATCCCAAGAGCAGCATTATGCTAAACAGATCGGTAGAGACAGAGAGCTGGCAGGGGAGGCATTTTGCTACTTCTGGCTTCACTTTCAGTAGTGTAACTGTGAAGAGAGCAATGAATGAATTTCATAAATAGCATGGGTTCTGTAAATTTTTCCCAAAATGGCTTTCTTATTCTATTCAGAGCAGACATTTCCTCAGTCATTACACTTGCATGGTTTCACATCTGTTAAAAAAAAATGTAACTTCTCTGGCACATCTTTCCTTTAGAGTCTCACAAAATAGTATTATTTTTTGCATTTCATTATTACAACAACAAACTCTATAAGAATGTCTAGGTGTAGGGATCCATGTAAGCAAAGGCCCAGAAGTTGTAAATTGCTTCTGTCTCTCCCCACAGTATCTCTTATAATTTTCCTTGCCTCTTATTTTACCACCCAAGCTCAAAAGAGCCTGTTGATATAAACACATAATTCACAAAATAATACAGAAATGCAGATGACCAATCAATTGGACACCATGAGCATTTTGGATGGGCTGGAGTATAAGTTTTATACAGGAGAGTCTGAAAAAAATGAACTTAGCCATTGAAAGATTGTCCAGCCAAATAGAGGATAGCCCTTAAGAGACAGACTTTGCTGCCAATCTAACTCAGTGTTATTAGGTATATGGCCTTTGAGCTCAATTTCCTGAGTCTTGATTTTCTCTTCTTCAAGAGGGAACATAGGTACAGAGGGCACAGGTATTGTGAGAATGTCATAACTTAACATGTAAGCCCAGTGACTGGTTCAAATTATGTTAGTCAAAGGAATTAGTTTCCTTGTTCTTATCTTCTTTCCATTCACTAAGTAATGGGGTGTCAATGAAGATTTTTAAGCAGAGGAGTAATGTGGACTTTACAATCAAATTATAGCTTTAAAATAGGTCTGGTAGAACTCCCAAGAATGAACAAAGTGAATGTTTGAGTTGAAAGTGCTTTGAAAACCTTTAGCACAACTCTCAGACATGTTTTAAACTATACTTGTGATACTTGCACAGATATGTCTATGTATCGAATTTTAAGAATAATATTGAAACTATTATTTTGTACAAACAAGAACAGTATGCAATTATAAAATAAATACATTTTTACCTCTTACATAAATCCAATACTTGAGCTGCATCTTCTTGGGTTGAATATGTGGGCATGCCACCAGGACTTTCTTTTGTTAAAATTCAAAGTATTTTCTAAGCATTTAAAAATTTAAAACACCGCTTTGCACAGTAAGTTACAACTAAAATATCCAAACATAACTCGTGTTTTATAATTGAAGCTTCTTTCCTTCTTCCTGTTTGGGAATGTGCTGGTATTGTGAGATATTCAAGCACGGAAACGGGATCACCAAAGCTTTTCGGGAAGCAGTGTTTATTAGCATGCTGGCAGCAGCTCAGTGGATTCACATCCAAAGACTGAGCCCTGAGAACAAAGGGACCTTGCCTTATAGACCCTTGCAAGCAGGTTACAGAATAGAGAAGCAAAGTTTAACCCACATATGGTTACTTGTAATTTCATTGGCTACTTCATCCTCAGTGCTAAGTGACCGTTTTCAGGTCACTTAAGTTTCAGTTTCCTGCCATACCCACTCCTCTCAGCTATATAATTCCCCCCTTTGATGCTCAGACCCATCTAGGATCAAAGAGCATCATCCTGATTTAGGGGTTTATATTTCCACAGGATTATTATATGGGAGGATGTTTTCCTTTCTATAGTGGCCTCCATAATGGTTCTGATAGATCGCAATACCAAGGGAACCAGGCAGGGTAGTATCAAACATGTTCCCAAGACAAGAGCCATCACCCCATCAGGGTCTAGAACCCGCCCAAGGAAGAGAACCATCTTCCAAACAGGTCATTGGGACTCCATCCTCTCCAAGTCTGGACGGGGACATGGGCAATCTTCCTCATTCTGTCTGTGATTTCTTCTGTGACCTTTCCTTCATTGTTAATTTGTAAACAGCAGTTACATTGATTGAATTTTCCACATACACCCCCTTCAGAGGCAAGTAGATAGTCTAAGGCTAGGTGGTTTGGGTATATTGCATTGTGTACCTTTGTGTGCTGCTTGGCCAGTATGTCAAGGGCTCTTGCAGTTTCATTAGTTATAATTTTGACTACCGCCTAGAGCCAAATAATGCAGTTGAGCATATAAATCAGTGCCATAGCCCCAAGATCTGTCTTCTGCCCAAGTGGCAGAACCACAATACTGAATGATTTGCTCAGGAGGCCACTCATCATCTTTCCAGTTTCCAATTTGTAAGTTACCCTGTCGCTTTCTGCTTACTCTTTCCTTGTATATGGAAACTCCCAATTTTTCCCCTTGTGTGAGGGGGAGCAAGAAAAAGAATGGCTGAATTGTGCCCACTACACAGGACCTGAACCAACTTCTGGGTAGCACTGTACAGCTTGCTTCCCACAGATCCAATATAGTCCCCTGGGCACCTGCCAGTCTATGTTTGTGGTGCGACTGTCCCAAGCTTCTTGGAGAGCAGAGAAGTTGGCCAACGGGTGGGACTGTGGTTCCGTGAGGGTTGGCGTTCTCCACTGTTGGGTCTCTTGGGTGGTGTCATTGTAAAACTTTTGCCCTAAACAAGTGAAATCCTCTACCAGGTGGAGAACTTGCCTTTTGGGCAGAAGATACAGTAATTCCTGATGACAGTTTTTAGGAGCCAGACGCTTTTCCTGTGATTAGGGAAGCACTGTCTCATGGAAGGGCTCCTGTGGGTCCTTAGCTTCCCATGGCCAGTGGTCATGGATCCCCCACAAACAACATGAGGTGACATTTAGAGACTGGGCTGTGGACTCAGTTAGTGAGAGGAAAGGTTTTTGGTTTTGATAGCGATAGGAAACTCATTCCACATCTCCTCATAGAAAGAATGAAAGACGGTATGAGGAACTCTCATGGGTGACTGTGATGAGCTTGAAGTGTAGCAGGGTACTGGGGTCATATCCCATTCCATTTATCTTTATACTGACCGTACATCCCTGTTCCCAATCTGAGGGCTTTAATAAAGTAAAATTTATGGGGTTACAAGCACCAAAGGATAGCCATCCCTTTGCAAAGCCCATGAGACACAACTCCAGTAAGGGCAATAATACCAGCCCATGTCATCACAGGGCCAGCCGCCCAGCACATATACTTACCATTTGACATATGAGCTCTCTCCCAGGCTAAGCCTCTACATCCCCCGCTATCTGGGCCTACGTCCGCACATAGATCAAAAAACACTGACACTGGCTTATCAGGTTGAACACCTGGGTACAGTTAACAAGGTCCCTAATTCCCTGTCATATCTCTGAACCTCCAACCATTGCTCATGAGGGTGATAGGTGGGCTGAAGCAGATAGGCTGATTACCATGGGAGCATACCAAATAGATGGTATGGTTATGGGTGCATGATCCAATGACGGTGCCTGCACAAGAGTAATAAGAATAAAAAGCAAAGTTCTGGTGACAACACTTCATGCCTGGGTAGTGTGTATGCATAAATCACAGTTTGTTTAAAGATCCCTGAGGAGAAAATGTGGAGAGGACCCATCATTTAGGAATGGCAGATGATTCCTCAGTTTTCCACCATGCACAAATTAGTCAGCTTCCAGACTGACTAAAGCAAGGCTTTCATCTCACTGCCCAGAGGTAGCTGGAGATCCTGGAGGGTCCTGCCAAGGAAGGGTGTGGACGTTCTAGAGGGTGATCTTGCATGGTGAAGTTAGGATAGGGATGCACTCCCTCTAGAGAGAGGCTGGCTTCACCTGGCTGTGATGGATCCAGGGAACAATTTCTACAACCTTAACTGCAGTGAGGTAGACAAGATAACAACAAAAGGACCCGTCTGATGGGGTTTTAGTGGCTGGACATTCCATTCTTTCACCCAGATGGCATCCCTTGGTTTGTAAGGCTATGTGGGGGTTGTCAGGCTAACAGGAAGTCTCTCCTGGACACAGTCATCGATTTTCCAGAGAGTCGAACCAAGAACCTGCATTTGTTGTTTTAAGGTAAGGTCACGTATTTCTTTGAGGTCCCCTCATATACCCTTGATTAAGGGGGTAGGTGTCCATAAAGGACTTCAAAGGGTGAAAGCCCTGCTCACTTCATGGGACTTGACCTGATCCTTAGTAATGCTGAAGGTAGTAGCCTGAGGTTTCTCCATGAAGTAAGGTGTATAATGTTTCCAGTTGAGGAGGTCTGTGGTGGTAAAGGGCTGGTACATGAATGTCTCCCTCCTCCTTGTATTTGACCATCCTGGTCATAATACACTGGGCCTTGGACCTCCCTCGGGGCATCTGCAGGGTGGTGGGAGTCTGAGGAGGGGAGGGGTCCTTGTGGAGACTGGTTGGATGTCCCTGATTGAATGGGGGCATGGGGTGATAACTGGTGGACTCAGAGTGGGCATGAGGTCCATAGGACTCAGGGAGGTCAGGGGAGTTCAGGTTCCAGAGGCTTCTGGGCCAGATTTTACAGGTGCGACTGTTGCTCAAGCTTCCCCATCTGACATTGAAGGTGAGGGTGCAGAACTTGGAGCCAGTGGCAGAGGTGGATAAAGCGGCAAATAGGGTGGTGGCATTTCTTAGGGCTCCTCGGCTAGCACAGACTCCTTTGATTTCTCTCCACACTTGGAAGTTGCAGCTACCCTAGCTGGCTACAGGTTTCTTCCATCCAAGGTCTTAGCCATGTGGGCCAGCTAAGAATTTCATCCTGCCAGCAATCAATGTAGGGAAACTGATCTGGGTGTCCAGAATTCCCTATAATTACCCTACAAATTTTATTGACTACAATTTTGTCTACCCTTCTGGGGGCCACCCTACACCAAAAGCATGTCAATCTAATTCACAAAGAATCCTAAGCTTATCAGGAGTTAACTTGACTCCATAGTCTCTATTAAATCCCTTTTTAAAGTTTTTAGGCCTACACTCAAAAGGGATACCCTTACTCTGATTTCTGCCCATTTCCTCCCATTAGTAGACATCAAGACAAACACAGAGGGTAAGGAGAGGTAAGAGGTCCTCTTCTCTGACTCAAAAGGAAGAACAATATGCACCCCTTATCAGTGACCTGGATGCGTCCACCAGCTAGGAACTGAACCTACACAGGGTCCTAACTCAACTCACTCACACTTCTGCCCCTCTCCCTTAACCTGAGAGACATGGTTTCACCCCAGACAGAGCTTTTCTGGTATCTCTGGGAGGTGATCAGGCTCCCCTCTGCCTCCCAAAAGCAGGCCTATTATTTGAACCCAAATTCTTACCAGTCTGATCAATGGGGCTCCCAGTTGGTTCCCAAGACTCCTCCAGGTTCCTTTGTGCAACCGAGACTTGCTCCTTGGTGTGCCTGGAAAAGCAACTCCCTCTGTCGGATCAACAGGTCTGTTGGACCTAGTGGGTACAGCTCACCAGATTAGCTGGGGATGCTGAGTCCTGGTGACAAGGAGTGAAAGACACCATCTCTAAATCCTGGACTGAACCTCACAAAGTGTTGCAGGATATTCAGACAGGGAAATGGGACACCCAGGCTTTTCAGGAAGCAACGTTTATTAGCATGCCAGCAGCACCTCAGCAGATTCACATCCAAAGGCTGAGCCCCAGGAACAAAGAGACCTTGCCTTATATTCTCCTGCAAGCAGGTTACAGAGCAAGAAGGAAAGTTTAACTCATATATGGTTATTTGCAATTTCATTGGCTACTTCATCCTCAGAGCTACGTGACCATTTTCATGTTCAATTTCTTTAAGTTTTAGTTTCCTGCCATGCCCTCTCCTCCTTGCTACACTGGTAGGAAGCCAGTCAGCTTTTCCTTTCCTCCCCTTTATGCTCCTGCTTCCTTTTAACTGTCTTGCTAGCTTCCGCTTTGACTTTTTCTGCTCCAGAGGTGTAGGCAGGGAGGTGGAAGTAGCAGGAAGTAGCATAGCTCTTACCTGATTCTGAGGTGACAACTTGACAGCTGCACTTTCTGGATCCAGCAGATGTGTGAGGCTCACCTTTATCTCTGAGCACTTGAGTGGGCCCTTCATAGTCTCCTCCCTTCCATTATATTCTCAGGAACAGCTTATCTTCTAACAAAGGCAAAATCTTCTCTATTCCCACTGACCATTTATTTTTGTCAGCTCCTTTAAAAAGTCCAGCTATGCCTTCAAATTCTTTCTGTTGAGATCCAGTTGCCACTCAGAAAGACCTTTGAGAACAGCACCCTGGAGAACCTACACTAGCTCTTCTCCCTCGGGGTCTGCAGGAAGCATTCACACATCCCTGCTCTTGCAGATTGCATTTGTGCAGCCCTCCCAGAGTGACCATCTCTTTCTCATCAGACCATCTCCTGTCCCCTCCACCAAATCATCTCTTTTCCTTCTGGGCAGGAGTCTGAGTTTGTGTTCCAAACTGTGAGAATTTGTGTTCCAGTTTTGATTGTATGTACCAAAACCTGTTTCCTCAAACTCAAGGCAAGGAGAAGGAGTCCTTCTCTCCACATCTTCAGATCAGCAGCTCTCTACTAGAACACAGATTCTCTTTCCAGACTCCCACTCCTGGCTTTTTTATAGGAGATGAGGAGTTGAAGAGTCGAGCACTGGTTTTTGTCTGCCTCCAAAAACTTGGCATATTGGTCTAGCTTTTCTTAGCTCTTCAGCCAAACCTTCCTTTTTAGCAGCCTGATAACATATCTCTAGAAAGAAAAAAAGTGGAAGTCTTGGGTTTTCTGTAGAGTAAAATAAATTTAAAATATGCAATTACAATTCTTATTCCTTAAAGAATATTTTTCCAGTTTGAAAAATATGGTACTTTTTATGGAAATTCTTCTATCTGTGACCTAATTTATATATTTTTTGTTTTGTTTTATTTAGGCGATGTTGAGAAAAGCTTCGTTTGTTCCAGTGAAGGGTACAGTGAATACAATGAAATAATCAAGTTGTTTCTTTCCTCAGGCAACATGGTAAGGCCACTAACAGCTAGATTACAGTCATCACATTCCCTTTAAGTCCCTGTAAAACTAGTAGCTCTGAACTATTCAAATAACTTGGGGAGGTAAAATTTCTCCATTCCTTTTTAAAGATCACCTACAATAATCTTCATTTTTTAAAATGGACCTGATTTGTCCTTTTGAAGTTTGACAGATGCAGCCTGTTAGAAAAAGAAAATTACCTTACTTGACCTTGAAAAAGAATTTTTCTTGTATAAGAAGCATGACATTATGGTTGTCATTTTAAGTAGAGAAGATATTATCTTTTGATTTTTAAAAAACCTACAACAAAAATAAAATTGCTATGGGGCTATGGATATAACTCAGTGGCAGAATGCTTACCTAGAATGCATGAGGTCCTGGGTTCAATCCCTAGCAGCACCAAAACAGTTAGAAGGAGAAGGAGGAGGGGGAGGGGGAAGGGAAAAGGAAGGGGAAGGGAACAGGGAAGGAAGAAGAAAGAAGGAGGAGGAGGAGGAGGAGGAGGAGGAGGAGAGAGAGAAGAGAAGAGAGAGAAGAGGAGAGAGGAAGAAGAGAAGAAGAAGAAGAAGAAAGATGATAGCTATGCAGCAAATGCTAACAAAAATAGAAGTTAATAAAAATGCACAGCTTGTCTAAAATATCTGTGGAAAATACAATTGAAACAACAAAAGAGAAAAATATCCCATGAAGACAAATTTATCCCTCAGTCTGCTTTGACTTAGATCCCAGGTTTTTTGCTTTTCTGTTTTTGTTGGGACCGGATTTGAACTCAACAGTTTCACTCTTGCGAAGCTATTGCTCTCCTGCTTGAACGACACCTCCAGTTCATTTTGCTCTGGTTATTTTGGAGATGGGGTCTTGTGAACTATTTACTTGGGCTGGCCTCAAACCTTGATCCTCTGGATCTCAGCCTCCCAAGTAGCTAGGATCATGGGTGTGAGCCACCGGCACTTGGCCCCCAGTCAAGAGTTGTATTTACAACTCTTGTGAAGCACAAGCCCTTTGAGTCAAAAGTGCCCAGCTTATTTGGGATTATATATTATAGGAAAGGAATGGGCTTTAGATGAAGACAGACATGCAAAGTTGGGGTCGAATCTTGGGCCTGCCATTATAGTCTGTATGCTCTGTAGTAGGTTACCTAACCTCCCTTTCATTCAGTGTTTTCTTCTTAAGAAGGGAATTATAACCTACTTCTTGGATAGTTATGATGTAAAAGTTCTAGTAATGGCATTTTTAAAAATGATACCTAACGTTTATAAAGTGTTTATGTATAGAAGACATTTTTCAAAGTGTTTTATATTCATTATGAAATTTAATCTTCACATTTAATTATTTAATAGTGTTTAATTTAAGTAAATACTATTGTCCTTTCTTTCACGATGACCCTGTTAAAAATCACACTTCCTCTCCAAACTTCTTATCCCAGTCTCCTTTCCCTGCTTTGTTCTTGTAATTGACTCTGGATTTATTTTACTCGTTCTGTCTTTCCATGCATCCATCTGCCAATTCACTCACTTCTCCATCTACCCATCCAGTCTCCCTGCCAGTCTCCTTTAGAATATAAATTCCAGGTGACAGGTTTTTTTGTTTTTTTTTTTTTGCATCTATTTAGCACCTGTAATACTGCCCAACTTATAGTAAGGGCTCAGTAGATAATTTGGGAATGGATGTGTAACATGCCCCCTTCCTTTTCATTTACTTGGTTTTTTTAAGACAGGGTCTTGCTATGTAGCCCAGACTGGCCTACAATCTCCAATCCTCCTGCCTCTACCTCCCAAGTGCTGAGATTACAGACACAAGCCACCATGTCAGGCTATTTCTGCGTGTCTTAGAGAAACTAAAACTCAAGTAGAAAATTTGACCAAAGTGCTCTGAACTATTGGGAGAGCCAAGAGATAAAGCTCTTGGTATCTGTCTCACTTATGTCTTCAGTAAAATCCACTATGCATGATTGCTCATCTTCACATACCTTTTTCAAATGAGAAATGGTCAATAAAAATGGAATAAGATGAGCTTTGCTTTTACATTTGCTTTCTTCTTAGTTAGTCACAACTTAATAATTTATTAATAAAATTGTAATTCCTACATGAGAGAGCATGTGGTTTTGATTTTATATTTATTAAATACACAAGAAAATTTTTTCCTGTCATTTTTATGTCAAAAAAAGACTATAATATGGATGAATAGAAGACTATGACATTTACACAATAGATTCCTGAGTTGTGAGGGTGTACTTTTAAAATGGATTTTTATTCCCTAGCTGCTAAAGATGGCAGTCTTTAACCTCATTTACTTTTCACAGGTTTTTCCTTAATTTTAAGTTAATATAATATGCTTCTCTCCATCAAATTGCTATTTTTATTTGTTTTGTTTCTCTCTTTCCTAAAGAAAATCCGCTGCTTTTTCCAATCTGAAAATGAAATTACTTCAAAGGGAATACTGGGTGTATTCACGTCAGGAGGACTTGCTCCCAGCTTGGGAATCCTCAACAGTACATATCATGGTATCTTCCACTTTGATTTAACTTTGGTAATTGTGTTTTCTTTTATTCTGTAATGTGTTACTAATAAAAAGCATATGCTTCCTTATATACTATGTTTTTAGAAGTTAGGTAGTTTAAAAGTTACATCTATATGTATATTTTAAATCCAATAATATAGTATTTTTTATTTTAGTGAAACTTTTAAAAATACATTTTAAACTATTTGCCCACACACTTACTATTTCTTTTGCTCTTCATTCTTTTCTGTAGATATGTTGCCACCTAGTATCATTTTCCTTCAGTCAAAAAAACTTCCTTTAGCATATATATGTATATGCACATTTATATGTGTGTGTGTGTATACATATATTACATATGGTACTGGGGTTTGAACTCAGGGCCTCACACTTGCTAGGCAGGTGCTCTACCACTTGAGCCACTTCCCCAGCCCTTGATTTATTTTTTAATTTTGAGTTAGGAATGTTCTTTATATATTCTACATATAGGTTCCTTATAATGCACATGATTCGCAAATATTTCTTCCATTCTGTGGATTGTTTTCACTTTCTTGATAGTGTTAGATAGTCTATAGATGAGTTGGGGCAATATTGCTGTCTTAATAATATAAATCTTTCATACCATGAACATTGGTTACCTTCCCATTTGTTTAGAACTTCTTTAATTTCATTCAACAATGGTTTATAGTTTTCAGTAATAAGTTTTATACTTTTTCTGTGAAATTTATGCCCAACATTTCATTCTTTTTGTATATTTGTCTTGAATCTTACAGCCTTGATGAACTCATTTACAAGTTCTAATAGATTTTTAGTGGCCACTTGAACCTTTGGAGGATATTTTTGTCAGAGATACAATTTCTGGTTGGCCTCATTGTCTTTCAGCATTTTGAATATGTCATTCAAATGTCACCTGACTCCTTTGTTTCTAAATGAAAAGTTAGCTGTCAATTTTATGATTGTGTATTATGTGTCATTTTTCTCTGGATACTTTTAAGATTTTCTCTTTGTGTTTCCTCACTTGGCGTTCTCTAAGCTTCTTGAGTTGTAAGTTGACAAAATTTTGACAGCTTCCAGCCTCTACTTCACAAACATTTTTTTCCACCCACTTCCTATCTCTTTTCTTGCTATGATCCCAATTTTGCATGTTTTGGAACATGTTATTGTCCCATAAATTTCTAAACTGTCCAGTTTTCTTCCCTCATTTTCCTCCTTTTCCTTTTTTAATTTATTTTCAACAGATGCATAAAAATTTTATATATTAATGGAATACCAACTGGTATTCCAATACACGTATGCATTGTATAATATTTAAATTGGATTAAACATACTATCTTCTCATACCTACCATTTCTTTATGGTTAGAACATTCAAAATCCCTTTTGAGGTCTAGAGTTGTGGCTCAAGTGGTTCAGCACCTGCCTAGCAAGCAGAAAGCCCTATATGCAAACCCCTGTTCCATCAAATGAAAAAAAATCCTTTTTGGAGTATATAATATTTTATTGGTATCCATAGTCACCCTACTTTACGGCCACCCTCTTTCTTAGTACTGGGTGCTTTCACTTACTGTATCTCTAAATTCACACTTTTTTTTTCCTGTCTCTAATCTGTTAATGGGCCTGTTTAATAAATATTTCACTTCAGTTATTCTACTCTTTGGCCTATTGTTTCCATTGGGTTTTGTATTGCATTTTTATTTCTGTGTTGGAACTCTCATTTATTCCCTCATGAGTACAATGTTTTCTTTAAATCTATGTATACATCTGTGATAAACTTGTTGAATTCATTCTCTGCTACCTGAATTCACTCTGAATCAGTTCATCGTCAGTAGTTTTCTCCTGAATGTCATTACACTTTCCTGTTTCTTTTTGTATCTTGCCATTTGGGGTTGAAAGTGGACATGTTGTAGTGACTCTAGATTCTGTCTTGTTCTGAGAAATTGCTGTTCTTCTTATTCCAAGAGGCCTTTACTGTATTACTTACAGTTCCAGTAGCTGATATTTCTGCCAGGTATTCTAGCTTCCACTGCTTGTTTTCCACACCTGGTCTTCTGGGGGTATCCTCTACACCTGTATAGCACAAGGATTTGGGCTCAGTTTATGTCTAAATCTTAGCGCTCACCTTTGGTGTGGATCTCTTGCTCCTGGGATTTTCCTCTTAAATTTTCAAATGCTTTGCCAATCCCTTGTTCTGAGTTACCAAGCCAGAAATGCTTCAATTTTGTGGTACTGAGGTGACTGCACAGTATTCCATTATTTGGCTACATAATTATATATAACTGATTAACATTTTCAGTCTTATGCTATTATAAACAATGATGCAAAGATATACTTGAATATTTGCTATTTCACTCAGAAATGAGTATAATGTAGGAAGAATTCCTAATGGTGAAATTTCTAGATGAGAGGTATACACATTTGGATGCTTATTTAATTTTCTGTTATAAAAGACTGGGTATAATATGCCAGAGTTATTAAGAATGTGAAATATTGTTTTCTGATGTTTTCTTTATTCAAGGCCAATAATGGGTTTTTCTGGCAAGTTGAGATCCCTAGAGAAAATATCACAAAAAACACAGGTAAGAGTGATCAGAATTAATTCTTTTACTCATGGATCTGGATTGGCAAATTTAGAATAATATTTATTATATTTAAAAAAATATTCATTATCCCATGTAAAGGTCTCCTGTAGTAGCAGGACATACTGAAAATTATTTGCAGTTCATCTGAAATTCAAATGTAACTGGGCTTTCTGCATGTTATCTACCATCTTACGATAGGCTGATTGTTCTGACATATGCAACATTTATACTATCTGTTATATAAAGTAAGCCCTTTTCAAGTTGGAAATTGTAGCACTGAGAAATTGGGCACTAGCAAACTCCACTGAAATTGGCTGAATCTTAAATTTTTGCATGCTGCAATATACAATGTATTGTTTTATTATGGACTCTACTATTAAATGTTGTGTGGCAGTATAGCACTATGTGCTGCTGTACATACCCAGAAGGAAAGAGAAGGAAAGCCAGATTTTAGGAATTATGAGTATTGAGCTAGGGACAAAGTTAGTTGATCTTGAGGCAGGAGGTATTTTACAGAAGTTAAAAATGGCGGAAGATTGTTTTAATATGATGCAGGCAAGAAACAAAATGACTTCACTTAGAGAGAAGAAACATTTTAGTCATGGAACTCAAAGACAAAAAATGCAACCACAACTATAGGAAGGAATTAGAAATAAGAAATAGGAATCCATCCAGAATGCAGGGAGTACTTTCACCCTTACTCTTTTACTTATATTTTCAGTCAATCTACATTTCTTCTTCTTTCTTTGAAGAATGGCTTTCTAAACCTACCTTACCACTGTTGAATTTTTACACATTTTTTCCTAGAGACCAGTCCATTTCCAAACCCTTTAGGCATCTTCAGTGTCTCTACCAGTGTGCCAATTAAATATTCAGACAAAGAGAGTGAGCTAGGGGAATTCCGCAGGCCAGCCCCTCTAGATATGGGAGTAGGGTGTGTCCTAAAGAATGAAGGTTGGGAGAAGGTGAAAGAAGGGCAGAGAAGACAGGAAAGATTCAAAGATGAAAGTCCACATCACAACCTCCAGTGCTATAAGGTGTGATATGGGTTCTATCACTTTTACCCTTCATTCACTTCATTAAAAAAAAAAAAAACCAACCTAATCTTCCTCTTGGAAATTTTTGTGATCTCTGGCAAGGAATTTATTTGAAAATTGTACCCTTTTTGAGCCAGGAGCTAAAGGCTCACACCTGTAATCCTAGCTACTTGGGAGGCTGAGGTCAGTTGGATCACAGTTCTAAGCCAGTACAGGCAACAAGTTTGTGAAACTCCATCTCAATCAGTAGCTGGGTGCAGTGGTGCATGCCTGTCCTCAAAAGCTATACAGGAGGCTGAGACTGGGAAGATCTATGATCTTCCCAGTAGGTGGGGAGGGGTTGTGGTGGTATATGCATTTTATCACAGTGACAACTGGAAGCCTAAAATAAGGGGCTTGAGGTCCAGGCCAGCCTGGGGAAAAAGCAAGACCCTATCTTAAAAATAACCAGAGCAAAAAATGGCTGAAGCTATGGCTCAAGTGATAAGAGCACCTGCCTCAAAAGTGTAAAGCCCTAAGTTCAAACCCTAGTACTGCCAAAAAAAAAGTTGTACCCTTTGTAAAAGTTGTATGGGCAATCATTAATATAAAGATGGAATATTATTATTGTTGTATGAGCTTGATGTAATGTTGACATTAATTTGACCAATGAAGCAGTGGTGATCACATGTTTTTACTTCTGTTGCTTATTTACAAACTTTAATTTCAAAATGTATTGATTCTGAGGTCACCCAGACACAAAAAAAGTAATGCAAGAATGTAAGAATTTGTAGAAAAATGTGATTCTTAGTCTCTCTTTCTCTAGAGATGACCTGCTTTCAGTCTATTCAAAATGTATTCCTTTCTTAATAAACTTTATTATGACTTTCACTACAAAAAATTGTAGGAAAAAACCAAACAAGTTCAGCCTGTCTGACAACTTACTAGACTGAGTTAAAAAAGAAGGGGGGAGGGGTTGTGTGAATAATATAATGCAAAGAAAGACGATCTATGCAGATAGTAATGTGCTAAAATCAGAGAAAAGTGTTTCAACTATATCTTCTCATTCATTTTTTCTTCCTAATCCTATCTCTTTTTTTTTTTTCAGTGCTGGGGCTTGAACTCAGGGTCTCATGCTTGCTAGGCAGGTGCTCTACCACTTGAGACTTTCTGATAGCCCTTTTTTGCTGGGTTTTTTGAGATAGGGTCTCCTTATTTGCCCAGGCTGGCTTTGAACTGTGATCCTCCTGAGCAGCTAATGCTGCGGGCAGGTGTCAAGAGTTCTTGCCTTCATGCGCCAAAGAATGGGCTCATGAGGCAGCTGATTGACTCGTGAGACAACTCAGCACACAAAGTAGGATTTATTAGAGAGAAAGGAAAAGCTGCCCCTAGAGATGGACAGGGAGCCTGGAAAATTTGTAGCTCCCTGTTGTTTACATAGAGGGGTTTTTATTTGGCCCTTTGTTGGGGAGGAGAGTCAGGAGTCAGGGGTGGAGTGGTCTTTTGACAAATCTCTGTAAGAACACACCGTGTTGGGGAGGGGAGGTGTAGGAGTCAGGAGTGGAGTGGTCTTTTACCACATCTCTGCAGGAACATGTACACAGTCCTGTGAAAGCCTCCTGCTTATCAGCCTTGTGGCATTTTGAGGCCTCCCCAGGGTGCCATGACTTGTGAGACTGCATGTCCCTTTACAGGACATAGGGCTCACAGTGCTCTCATGGGGAATGGGGGCACTGGCTCATTTTGTCTTCTGAGCCCCCAAACCCAACAAGTCCCCCCTCTGAGACAAGCACCCAACTGCTGTTGGGGAAACTGTCATCTGGCTAATTCCTGCTGACAGTGGGGTGGAAGGTGTAGGGAATGTGCAGGAGCACACATCTCAGGGATTGACCCGTGTGGTCTCTAGGGAACTCTAATAGAACTGGATGGAGGATTCATGTGTCGGTAGAGGTGAGTGTTCTTTAACTAAGAGCTGGAATTTTATCTTTTGCGTCTGTTGAGATATAAACTTGGAAAGAGCATTTAGTGTACAAGGCCCAAATAGGAGTGACAGAAGAAGCATAAAGAGAGAACCAGCTAGCAGTAACACCCAGGGAGCCCAGCTCTACGTGCTGTCCCAGAAGGACCATGAACTGGCTAATTCCTATCTCCTTTTTGTAATGCATTCTCTTAATTGTCAGGCCATGTCTCTGACCACCCCAGATTTGTTAGTATAAAAGCAACACTCTTTGTCTGTGAAGAGGCATGTTCCACCCTTTCCAGCAGTTAATAGGTAAAGTGTATGCCTGTTTTGGAGCACTACTGATGCTAATGACTCTGCTTGGTCCTGTAAAGCCTCCAAGGACTGTGTAACTTGTTCTATGTCATCAGAAACTTCTTTTGATAATTTTTGATGAGTATGGATTGATGAGGCAATGCCCCCAATGCCAGCACCTATTCCAGCTGTGATCCCCATGACTACTAGTAGGGGAATGATTTGAATGGCTCTCTTTGATTGAGTGTAGGCTGCTAGAGGAATAGGAAGAGATTGGCTGTTAGGGATAATATTGATTTGTGGGATTAGAAAGGCTAGAGTGCAGATTCCCCTCCAATCAGGAGGCAGGCAAGCATAGGCTGTGGTTCCACAAACAAAATAAGTTCCAGGAAAGGGAGAACAATGAGGATGAAATGTTAGATCAATTGACAGAGTTATTTTAACACAAAGCTCTTTAGGAATTTTCCCCAGTGAACTCGACCTATGTAGGCCTTGGAGGCACTGGGGGGCTAGATGGGTCAGCTTTATCTTGGCAATATCAGGTCTTGTTAGGGGAAGGCCCAGTATTTTACCTGGCAAAGTCCCAAGTGAGTCGGTAGCCAAGACCTGTGGAGACTTGGGGAGAGGCCCAGCTAGCAGTTCTCGGCTAAAGAGGGATTTGTATAGTTCAGGAGATGGTGGGTGGAATTAAATAGTCTGTATATCCGGGAGTCTAAGTCATAAGTCCTATTGGGTTGAGGGAGGCTTTCAAGCCGGTTGCTTGGGTTAGACACTGAGCAGACAGAGCCTGTCACTGTAGGGCAAACTGGGTCTACATAACCCCAATAGCTTTCAGTTGTTAAATTTCAAATTGAGTATTTTCTCCCATTTGTATAACAGGAAAGGACTCTGTCTGTTCAGTAACATCTTTGTGGCATATGGGGACAGGCAGAGGTACAGGGACACTGGGACAGTGGTGGGTCTGCAGGGGCTGGAGTCGGGTTATCAAAAGGTTGGCTGTAACTTTAGGAGAAGGGAGGGTCATTATACATGGAGGAAGAGGAACAGGCTGGAATGGAATCTCCAGGAGGCATGGCTGGATAACAGATGTAACAAGAGTCCTATTGTGGCCCCGTTATGTAGGTTTGTCCCCCATGGAGGCAGAAAGTGGGTCCTTGTTTGACACATAAATCAAGTTGATTTCCCCAAGGGGGGGGGCGGCGATATACTTTGCATCTACAAGGGGCGTAGGAATCCATTGTTACAGGCACATAACATAATCTGTAAGGCACAGATTATGAGAGTAAGTGGAGCATGAGGAACAGGGCACACAGGATGAGGTACCCGCCGCTTAAGGCCAATCACTGGAGCCATGTCCACTCAGGGGGAGAGTTTGCCCACAAACCAGCACTCAAGATAAGGGGAATAAGAATGTAAACAACACACAAAAAGAGGGAGAGAGAGAGAGAACATAAGTTATGTGTCCAATGTGGTTCTTTTGAAGAAGTATTTGAGGTCTTCCACTGGTTCATAGGAGTAGGTTAGAGGACCTGAGTGTGGTTTTGGGGTGGGCTCATCAGGCTCCAGTGTCTAATGTTTGGCTTGGGAGATGTGAATCCAGGAATCCAGTCCAGCAACCTTAATTCTTGTGCAGGTAGATAACAAGACAGGGCCCCTCCCAAAGAGCTTCAGAGAGGTCACAAGAGGCATGAAGAAGTTTAACTAAGACCATATCGCCTGGACAAAAC